TTCTCCTCCTTATTTATTTTTTTGTTTTTTAAGACAGCATTTCTCTGTGTAACAGCTCTGGCTGTCCTGGACTCACTCTGTAGATCAGGCTGGTCTCGAACTCAGAGATCCATCTGAATGCTTGTTTCTTTTCACAGTCTGGGTGGAAGGGTACAGCAGTCCAAGACCTACTAGTATCCAGTGGCATCCTGGCTCTGCAGGGGCAGCTCGGGGACCTAGGCAGGTATCTCAGCCTCTCCAGTCAGGCTTTGAAAACTGGCTCATGAGCATATAAAGAGAAAGCAGAGATAACCGCAGCCCAAGGTCAAGGGTGGGAGGAGCAAGGCACCAGGTTAAGGAAGAGTCAGACCTGGCAGTCCATGAAACAGCCTGACAACCCGAATTCACATGGTGGAAGGAGAGAGAACAGATTTCAACACACTGTGCTCTGACCTCCACATAAGCTCATCTACAGCACCTTCTAAACTAAGGCTATATGGGCGGTTATCTGTCTACATTCTAGAGACATCTCAAGTACAATAAGAATTGGACAATAGGACACTGGGAACAAAGGTTCGCATGATTAGTCCTGCATTCTGACACTCAGTTGACAAAGAATAGTTGAAGGCAGAGCTAACTTAGCATACTCTCAGTCTCCACTAAGCCCCTGCTCCCCGCTACTCTCTCTCTCTCTCTCTCTCTCTCTCTCTCTCTCTCTCTCTCTCTCTCTCCCTCCCCCCCCCACCCACACACACACCCCCAAAAAGAGAGAGAGAGAGAGAGAGAGAGAGAGAGAGAGAGAGAGAGAGAGAGAGAGAGAGAGAGAGAGAGAGAATCACAGTGTCAAAATGAACTCTATAGTCAGTCTCATTTCGGACCATAAGGCTGTAAACAGAGAAAATACTGTTTGTTTTGAAACAAGGTCTCATATAGCCCATGCTGGACTCAAACTCCCAAAGAGGCAGAGGATGACCTTGATCAGATCAGATCCTCCTGATTCTACCTTCTAAGCACTAAGATGACATCTGGGAACCACCACACCCAGATTTTGTAAGTCTGGCATGGAACCTAAGGCTTCCAGCATGCCAGGCAAGCATATTACCCACCAAGCTACATGCCCTGCCACTTCTTTTTCTTTTCACTTTTTTCTTCCTTTCTTCATGTCTCTTTTCTTTCCTTCTCTTTGGTATTTTATTTTACTTTGTTTTATTCTTTGGGACCTGGGCTATGTTACCAGGCCTGGAACTCTAGTTTTAGTTGTGAGCCTAGCCTTTAACAGTTGAGCCATCTCTCTAGCCCACGGCTGGGAACTGTGTAGGAAGCCCATGCTAGTCTCAGACTAGTGATCCCCCTGCCTCAGGCTTACAAGTTTTGGAACTGCAGGCATGTGCCACCATATCCAGTATGGATCCAGTGCTTCCTGAATGTTGGCAATTGCTCTGCCAACTAATCATGTTCCAGCCCAAGAAAATGCTTTCAACATTTATTTGTTTGTTTGTTTATTATGGCTCAGGAAAATTTAAAATCAGAAATATTTTCAGGGAAGCTTCACCCATCCCTTAGCAATATAGTTGCTTAAAGAAGACCTGAACAAAGTTAATATCCTCTATACTGGCATAACCTTTTCTCTCTGGATTCTCCCAAAACTAAACCCTGAGGAATAGATGCCAATTTTGGCTTATTTGAAAGGTATATGGAATTTCTTAGGAGGCTGAAAGAAGACTGAAGACAGGAAACCAATAAAGCAGGTGTGTTTTCAATGCAAAAAAAAAAAAAAAAGAGAGAGAGAAGACCTGAACAAGGCCTGCACCAGTGGACATGCCAGTGTGGGAAAAGAATGTCTCATGGGGCCCCACGTCTAGACAAAGAACTACGGGCATTTAAGGGATGCTGAGAGAGAGGAGCAGTCACTCCAAGGGAGGGGCCCACTGATGGGTTGGTTATCTGATACCAGATGGTCAGAGCCCAAATCACTTACATGCAAGCAACACTGAACAGACTCAGTAGATTGTATGTCTGTGAGGGTGTGGTGTTTGTGGTGTGTGTGAATGTGTGCAGGTGTATGTAAGTGTGTGTGTGTGAATGTGGGGGGTGTGCATGAATGTGGGGGTGTGGTGTGTGTATGTGTGTGTGGTGTGTGTGAAGGTGTGTGTGTGTGTGTGTGTGTGTGTGTGTGTGTGTGTGTGTGTGTGTGTGTGTGTGTGTGTGTGTGGTGTATGTGTAAAACAATAAAAACTAGAAAGGAGGCCAGGGGGAAAAATCAGAAATATTTATTTTAAGCTCAACATCTGGGGAATTGAGACACATGAATAACATGGCACATGTCCCTCTGTCAGAGCCAGGGGACAGGGCTATAAGGACCATTCCCTGGTCAGAAGGCAAATATCCCAGGGACATGGGTGACACTTTGCACAAGCAGTATCCCTTTCCCCTGGTCTCGAGTCTTCTCAGAGAGAAGGAGGAGAGCAGCCCTTGCCTGGGTCAGGATGTTTCTCAGCTCTGCTGGGGAACAGAGAGCAAGCCTCAGGTTCAAAGTTCTTAGAAGAACCCCAAAGTTAGCCTAGAGGTCCCCCAAAAGGCAGAGGGATACATGGTTCCACAAGAGTCCAACAGGCTCCCAGCAACCAAATTCTGAGTGTCCCCCACATGATGGGCACAGGCCCTGGCCATGACCTAGGAAGGGAAGGCCACTGAGGGTGGCTCCACCTACTCTCAAGTCCCCACTGTGCCTGCTGCTGGTCCAATAGTGAGGGCACATTCTCTCCTCTCCCAAGTTCAGGGTTAACCACCAGCAGTGTAGCTGTGTGGCCGTGACAAACATGGCATTCTGCTTTTGACGCATGTGCTCCCTGTGGTTGCTGTAACAGTGACCACAAACCAAATGGTTTCAAACAGAGAGTCTGAGGCTAGACCAGCAAGGTGGCTCCAGGGTTAAGGTGCTTACTGCAAAGCGTGATGGCTGGGGTTCAACCCCAGGATTTACATGGTCAAAGGAAAGAACAGACTTCAACACATTGTCCTCTGACTTCCACATACCTGCTTGTGTGTGTGTGTGTGTGTGTGTGTGTGTGTGTGTGTGTATGCAAGTGCACACACACACACACACACATACACACTGTAATAAAAACAAGAAATTTAAGGTCATCCTCAGCTACACAGGGAGTTTGAGGCCAGCCTGGGCTACATGAGTCCTGTCTCAAAACAAAACAAAAACTTGCTAGGTCCAGACATAGGCTCCTCTCTCTCCAAAGCACCCTTCTTTCCTTGGTACCGTGAACTTGGCCTCCCTTCCACCTTTCTTGCTAAAGAGAGTGCTAGGAAAGGGCAAGGAAGTCCCCCACCCCGTGCCCCTTGACCACCCACATTGTGGAAGGAGAGAACCCCCTCCCAAGAAGACAACTGAATGTAAAAAAAAGATATCTTATAAAGAGCTCTTGAAAAACAAACATCTGAAAAAATAAGAAAGAAAACGAGCAAATAAAAAAAGTAGCAGAAAATCTGGTTTTAACAATTATAAGACGCTGGGTTGGTGCACACACCTCTGATCCCAGCACTCAGGAGGCAGAGGCAGGCTGATTCCTGTGAGTTTGAGGCCAGCCTGATTTACATATTCCAAACCAAACAAATTCCAAACCAAACAAGGCTATATAATGAGACCCGATCTCAAAAATAAAACAGTAGAAGGAGCTGGAGCGATGGCTCTGTCGTTAAGACTACTTCTTGCTCTTGCATAGGACCTGAGAGTTGCCAGCACCCATGTCAGGTGGCTCACAACCACCTGTAACTCCAGTTTGAGGGAATCTGTCACCTCCTTCTAGTCTCTGAGAGCACTCACAGATGTGTGTCACACACTCAGATACATACACATAAGTAAAATGAAATTAGTCTTTAAAAAGTTACAAGAATATAGGACAGTACTACAGCAAATTTTATACTAACAAGTGAGAACCTGGAAGGCAAGAGTCGTTTTATATTAACAAATTACACACTCTAGGCAATGACACTCAAGCAGAGATGAACACCTGAGCAGACATAAAACACTGACAGTTGCATTTGGAGCTTCGTTTGGGAGCTCTGAGCATCCAGTCCCACACACAGAAATGACCAGATGGCTTTGCCTTCTGCCAAGCCTTTAAAAAGAGCTTACAGGGTATAAACTGCTCTGGAGGCAGAGGAGCAGTCACACCTCTGATCTGCTTTATAACTACAACAACAACAGGCAAAAGCAGCAGCAGGAGCGAAGCAAATGGCAGTTTTATCCGGGAGTGAAGACAAAGGTGCTTGGAACAAAATCAGGCCACTAGGTGCAGAGACACATGGATGCCTTCCCTAGCAATCGGGAGGTAGGAGCAGGAGGATTGGGACTCCTAAACCAGCTTGAGCAACATAATACCCTGTCCAAAAAAAAAAAAAGCCATATCAAACTAGGAGAAGGAAAAGGATGAGGAAGAGGAGGTGGAAGAGGTAGCTGGAGAGATGGTTCAGTGGTTAAAAGCACCGACTGCTCTTGCAGAGAGCCTGGGTTTTGTCCTCAGTACCCACACGGAGGCTCAAGCTAAAACTCCAGTTCAAGGAGATCTGATGCCCTCTTCTGGCCACCAAGGGCACTGCATGCATGTAGTACACATACACGTAGGCAAAACACCCATATAAATAAAATAAAAATAACTTTTTAAAAAATGACATTACACTGGTTATGATGATATACAGCTTTAACCTCAGCACTTGGGAAGCTGAAGCAAGAGGATCAGGAATTCAAGCGTATCCTCAGCTATATAGGGAGTTTGAGGCCAGCTTGGGCTGTACAAGACCCTGTCTCAACAAAAGAAAAAGAAGTTCAGGCTGGGACAGAGTGGAACCTGAGGAGGAAATTATTTATCAGATCTGTGTCTGTCTGGTCCTGTGGCATATTCAGCCACAGTGGGAACCCGGGGATGCCTAAAGAAAATTTTCAGCATTCCCGTGGGTCTGATGGTTCAGTGACACAGAATTTAACATAGGTTCATTTTTCTTCCTTCTGAATGAACTACGCTCCAAACAGCAGCCCAGCCCCAGGTCTGACCGTCAATGAGCCCCACCATGGACTCTGTGAGCTGGGTCTACTTTTCGGTGACATTTCTTGTCATGGTCATCTGTGTTTTGGGGATGGCAGGCAACAGCATGGTGATTTGGCTGCTGAGTTTCCGTGTGCGGAGGTCCCCCTTCTGCGTTTATGTGCTCAACCTGGCGGTGGCCGACCTCCTCTTCCTGTTGTGCATGGCGTCCATGCTCAGCCTAGAAACAGGGCCCCTGCTCATAGTCAGCACCTCTGCCAGAATCTACGAGGGGATGAGGAGAATCAAGTACTTTGCCTACACGGCCAGCCTGAGCCTGCTGACGGCCATCAGCACCCAGCGCTGCCTTTCTGTGCTTTTCCCCATCTGGTATAAGTGCCATCAGCCCAAGCACCTGTCATCGGTGGTATGTGGTGCGCTTTGGGCACTGGCCCTGTTGCTGAACTTCCTGGCTTCTTTCTTCTGTGTTCGGTTCTGGCATCCCGATGAGAGCCAGTGCTTCTGGGTGGACATGGTCTCCACAGGTCTTATCCTGGGGATCTTCGTGCCCATCATGATCCTGTCTAGCACCATACTCCTCATCCGGGTACGGAAGAACACGCTGCTGCGGAGACGGCGGCCCAGGCGGCTGTTTGTGGTCATCCTGGCTTCTGTCTTTGTGTTCCTCACCTGTTCTCTGCCCCTCGGCATCTATTGGTTCTTACTCTACTGGGTGGGACTGCCACAGGATGTGCTCCTCCTGTATATCTGCTTGTCACGCTTCTCTTCCAGTTTGAGCAGCAGCGCCAACCCAGTCATCTACTTCCTTGTGGGCAGCCAGAAGAGCCACCGGCTGCAGGAGTCCCTGGATGCTGTGCTGGGGCGGGCACTTCGGGATGAGCCTGAGCCCGATGGCAGGGAAACACCATCCGTGTGCACCAATGATGAGGTCTGAAGGCAGCCCACCTGAGGCCTCCTTGCCAGCCCTGCCCAGCCCTGCCCACCCTGCTGGCCTGCAGTGGATGACCCCAAAGGCCTTGCAGCTCACCATGTTGGGGTCAATTTCCTCTATACCAAAGGGCTCACTGCTATCACCTTGTGTGCCTAATCTAAACTGGTATATGAGGCAACATTTATTTCCATTTCACCTGTTTAGACACCGATCCTAGCTTTGGGCCCCATCCCGTGCAAGGTTGGCTGGGAAATGGGGTCTCCAGGTGGAGACAGCTTCTCGTGTGGGTGGAAAAGACTATTCCTACCCACCTTATCTCCTTGAGATGGCATCTATCCTATTTTCATTTCTGCTGCTGTGAGAAATTCTCTGACAAAAAGTAACACTTAACAACTACAGATCACAGACCATCATTTCAGGGAAATCAAGGTGGGAATTGAAGCAACTAGTGACATTATATCCAAAGTCAAGGATGGAAGGAAGGAAGGAAGGAAGGTAGGAAGGAAGGAAGGGAGGAAAGAAGGAAGGAAGGGAGGAAAGAAGGAAGGAAGGGAGGAAAGAAGGAAGGAACTTAGCAAATGTATGGATCCATCCCTGCTTGCTTGCTCTCAGCTAGCTTTTTCCTCTCTTATTCTATTCAGAACTCTGTGCCTAGGGAGTGGTATTGCCCACAGTGGGCTGGATCTTCTTTTGTCAATCAACAATCAAGACAAACTTTCATAGACATGCCCACAAACTAGCCTGACCTAGGTAATTCCTCACTGAGGATCTCTCCCTAAGTGATTCTAGGTTGTGTTGGGTTGACAGTTAAAGCTAAACAACACAACATCTTGGACTTGGGGATAGATATAGATGACATCACTTGGTGCTCAAAGTGGTGGCTCTGATGCGCTTGTCATTGAGTGTGCCTGCAGCATATTGTGTGACTTTCCTGGGGTGACATGAACACACATCTACACATCCCAGATAGGGCACTGATGACAGACCAAGGAACAATCCCATCCAATCCCAGTCTGAGGATCCAGTGAGTTATTGACCCACAGAAGTGTGGATCAGAGGCTACTTATAAAGATGTAGGTGACCCTAAAACAGCCACATCACTGAAAAGTCCCACCCTAGCATGAATGATAATTTCCAGAGGTTGTGCCCTGTTCCTAACCATCTACCCTCTTCATACTAACACCTCCCCAAACCAAGAGCAGCTGGAGTGGGTTATATGTGCTGGAGAGGAGGGGCAGGAGGAAGGGGGAGGAGTCTCAGACACTTCCACCCTCCTTTTTTGAGGGAACCACTACAGGCTTCATCCTGAAGGTCTCTGGGGAAGCTCACAGCTGCACTGTCATGATTGTAATGGTTGTGACCGATACTCAGGGAACAGAACTCCACAAACCAACCAGCTGTGCCACCTTCTCTGACCCCCATCTCACTGTCCTCATCCCCCACTTGACCCCTGGCCCACCCTCAGGCTCTGACTTGGCCTGTGGGGTTCTCTCATATCCCTTGCTCGCTGACAGGCCCATAGGCTTTCCCCCCAAGATGTCTGCACCAGTTGACCTTGTAACAGGCGAGGACAGAAACATGGCAGCCAGAAGCTAGGAGAAAGGTTAGAGGGACAAGATGGAAAGAGGTTGCTGAACAGACAGAGCTCTGCAGGAGGCAGGCAGAGCAGAGAGCCTGAATCAATGGGGGGACAACTCCCAGAGGATCTGGAAAGCTTTAGTAAAAGTCAGTGTGTCATGTTCGTGGTGACAGAAATGCTGGCCACCCCCTCTGTGCATATATGTATCAAAATGGCACCTCAGACCCCATAAACCTGTATGATTCTTATGTGTAATTAACAATAAAAGGCAACAGAAAAAAAAAAACTCACAAAAAAGCCTTTGTGTTTTTAACCTGACTCCAGCCTCTGAATCCTGGGCATTGTCTTCAACACTATTCAGTAAACAGTCCCCTGTTACCTGCCCTTCAACTGAAGGACACCTCAGGAGCCACTTCAGTCCAGTTATTGACATAGGAACCCTCTCTGGAACCTCTCTGGGTTGTTTAGCATGTGGATTTTGTTTGGTTTGAGTTTTTTTTTTAATTTTTCCCCCCAAATTGAGAAAAAGATCCCACTTGGGTCAGATCAAGGACTGTGCACACACCAGGCCAGATCTCTAATAGTGAGTGCAGCCTCCGTCTTCTTTTTCTTTTTAAAAAGGTTATTTGGTGGCTCACACCTTTAATCCAAGCTTGCTGCAGGCAGAGGCAATCTCTGAGTTGGAGACCAACCTGGTCTACAGAGTGAGTTCCAGGACAGCTAGGGCTCTGTAGAGAGACCCAGTTTCAATGTGCCCCCACAAAAGATGATTTCATCCTCTCTCAAAAGAGTACTTATTTTAATTTTATTGTGTGGGGGGTTTTGTTGTTGTTGTTGTTGTTGTTGTTGTTCGGGTTTTTTGCCTTCATGTATGTCTGTGTACCATGGGTGTGCCCAGTGCCTGTGGTGGTCAGAAGACAGCATCAGATCCCCTGGAACTGGAGTTCCTGGTGATTGTTAGCCACCATGAAAGCTCAGCCTTCTTTTTGCTTTATATTTTTGAGACAGAGTCTTCCCATGTAGCCCAAGCTAGACCTTCAACTCACTATGTAGCCCAGGCTGGCCTTAAATCTGTGGTCCTCCTGTCTCAGCCTCTTGAGTGCTGGGATTACAGCTCCTTTTCACTTTTTTTTTTTTTGAGATGAGGTCTCCATCAGTTGTTCAGACAGACCTTGAGCTGTGAGAAATGTAGAGGTGCAGAGTAGCAAACTGAAGGCAGATTTATTTCATGACTTTGCAAAGCCAGACATCAGCATAAAGTCACCAACCTTTAAAACCCCAATGCAGGTCCCTTCCTTCCACTGGCTGAGTCTTGTTTTTGTTTTCGTTCTTTTGGTTTTTCAAGACAGGGTTTCTCTGTGTAGTCCTGGCTGTCCTGGAACTCACTCTGTAGACCAGGCTGGACTTGAACTCACAGAGATCCTCCTACCTCTGCCTGCCAAGTGCTGGGATTATCTGTTCCTCTATTGCCTAGGTTTGGCTTTTCTCAACAACAAAAAGCATGGTTGGACTTACCTCTGTGTTTCAAATCCTGTTAGACACAGACCCCCAACTCCTCTGCATGTAGGTCATTAGGCAATAGTAGTTGTTAGTAAATTCCTGCTTTAACCTACTAGTTTGAGTGACAAACTAGACTAGCAGAACTTGAGTGGGATTAGATAAATTTAGCAGGGTACCAGAAAGGGCCCCATATATAATCTTCCTGCCTCAGCCTCCAGAGTAGCTGGGATTACAGGGTTTGCCTGCACTTGTTCTTGATCCAGGTCCAAGAGTTGCCTGAGTGATTCCCATCACACTGCAAGGAAGAGGCCAGAGGCATAGGGGAAAACTAAACTCAAAGGCTTCACTTCTAGAAAAGAAGGGACCAGCCCCCCACTCAGCCCCCTGCTTTAGCAGCCAAGACAGGCTACAGAAAAGACATGTAGGCCTCTGACACAAGGAAACTCCAGATCCTCTGGCCACCTGGAGCCTAGGGCCAAAATTGAACACAAAGAAACTCCAGACACCCCCAACCTTCTGCAAGCCTCCTAGGTACTTGGTTCCTGTGAACTGTTTTGCCACAAAAGAAGATCCAGGGGAGACCAACATCTCCCCTGTAGTCTCCAGGATACAGTTCTGAAAACTATTGGTATCTATGTATAACAGGCCACCTGCAAGTAACAAAACAAAACCATAAAAACCACAGAATGTTCCCTCAGAACTGACCAATGAAAATAATTGGTACACAGGTATTTCATGCCAAAATATGACTTTGAGAAATCCTCCTGGTTGTTCCCAAATGTCAACCAATCAGAAACCAACCTGTACCTACTGATGCAATCCTCCTACCTTTGTCTTTAAAACCTAGCAGTAGACAGGGAACTTCACCCCCCTGTGTCAGCTTGCTAGACGGGGTTCCTCCCTTTGGTAGGATAGAACAATCAATAAACCTCATGCATTTGTATCCGTGGTCTGTCTCCCTGGTCTCTTTGGGGATCCTTGTGACTTGGGCACAACAGCCACAACATGCTGGAAGACAGATGGGACCTTTAGTCACAGCCCCAGAGCTCTCCGAAGTCCCCAGAATAAGTACAGATGCTACAAGGGGATCACAGCAGCTAAGCAGAAGGCAGGAGATGAGGCTGGAGTGCTGGAGGATCCCGGGAGTGGCTGGGCACAATCCAGGCCTGAGGTTAGAGAGAGGAGAACCAGATGCTCAGTCAATGATCCCCCTTTTAGGGTCAATATGAGGAGTGATGGAAAGATGGGGAAAATTTTGAGAACACAAGATGAGAATAGAACCCCTCACACAGGAACCTGGTTAAAGCCCCTTGCCAATAAAGAAGTAGAGATACCAAAACTAACTGCCGAGGCCTTCCCCTCCCAGCTGTAAATGTGCAGTTTCTAGGAATCTCTCAGAAACCCTGTTGAGGAAGGGATGTGTCCTAAGCCCCTATGCAGCCCTGCAGGATCCCGAGTCACCTTATCAGGTTTGGTTAAGGCATCCCCAGAGCCACCTTTATAATCTCCCTTATCTCGAGGGAGGAGGAGACGGACAGAGAGACAAACAGAGAGAGAAGGTGTGGGAGGGGCCCTTAGCAACCACTGAAATGTAACGTGAAGCAGGCAAAGGAATGTATGTCACTAATTCTAGGATGTCACAGCAGCTCTGCCTTGAGGCGCTGGGACCACATTTGTGTACTTGTCTTACTGTCCGATTCTCTCTTTAGAAGTCCACACCCATGTCTTGGGTGGTTTTCACATTCTCCCGAGTGCCTTTCTTTCTCCTCACTCTAGTGTTGGCCTATATTAAAATGTTTGGGGCTAGGAGATGGCTCGGTAGAGTTCTTGCAAGCACATATAAAAAGCTGGGCACAGTGGTGGCACTTTCCTGTGACTCCAGAGGAGCAGGGTGGAGACATCAATCCTTGACATGTGGCTAGCC